TTGCCAGATGAATATGTTTTAAAGTTATTCAATAGTATAATTGAATGGTATAAATTATCAGAAACAAGTTTATATGACAATACCGAGTATCTTCATATAAACATTCAAATTGCAAAAATCTTTTACTTGCTGGTGCCATCTTTTATTAAACTTGAAAAAAACCATTTGGAAATTACATTCGATTTATTAAAGCATTGGTTTGAGGTAAAATTATCAAAAAAATTTTTTTTTTTAAAGTTGGTTATATATTAATGATTGACTATTATTATTTTCTTTGATAGCCAAGCAATAATTTTTTATTATTATATGAAGCACTTCGATTATACAACAGATTGAAAAATTTTGTGGTATAGATATATCTTTTTTGTTATTCGTGCATAAATATTTAATTATATTTATATATATTTTTCTAAAAAAATATCAATTAAAGGAACACGAAAATCCTGATCAAGAGAATATTTTATATGAAATTTATAGTTCAGTTGGTAAACCACTATTGGATAATTTAATGATTATATACATTAATGAAAAAGGTACATACATACACACACACACACACACACACACACACACACACACTGACTGTCAAATAAACAATTTATTTATTTATTTTTTACAAGATTTTGAAGAGTTATTATCTGATGAATATGAAGCTTATTTAAATATTCTGTCGGAATTATTTCAAGAATCAGAAGGTTATAGTTTTTCTAATAGAAGAAACGAGGCAACTAGCTATTTAAAGAACAATTAATAATTGATAATTAAAATTTTTATAAAAAGATCTTCTTCATTTTAGAATGTCAAATTAATCAAATATTGTTGTTGTTATTATTATTATTATTAGGTTTATCGTTTACTTAACACTCCTCACACAGAATTTCAAAAATGTACTTATAAAATATTACATCGATATATTTCTAGAAGAGTTAAAAGAATAAGCAATGAGTTTGAGATCGTGGGCACTGGTGATTATTTAAATTATTTGATTTTTATATTTGAATCAATTGAAGGAAAGATAATCATTTAATTATACAATTTATATTTATATATTTATAGAAATTAAATTAGAATTTGATGAAGGGATAGTTTTCTTGATTCAAAAGGCAAATCATAGCAATTATCTTGATAATATTAATTCAACTGATATTAATATATTGGTAAATATTATATTTATATATTCTAAAAGTATTATAATAGTGATATATTTAAATTTAAAATTTCTTTCTTTGGTTTATTGATTTTATTGCAGAATGAATATAAGATTTTTGGATATTTATTAACTTGGTTAATCATTTTTGATTATTTT